GAGGCGTGTCCAAAGGGACCTCCCGTGCTGACATACGTTGTACGCACATACATTCATGGAGACAGACAGACAGACAGACAGACAGACAGACAGACAGACAGACAGACAGACAGACATACATACATACATATGCAGATACACACATACATATACGCAGACAGACAAACGGACAGGCAGACAGACAGGTGCGTGTGCGTGTGTGGTGTGTGTGTGTGTGTGTGTTTTTGAAATTTGCGGCTGTAAGTTGTCATGCATGTGTATATATACATACACACATACCTACGCATGTACATACATACATACATACATACATACATACATACATACATACATACATACAAATATACATACATACATATATATATATATACAAATGATTTTATATGTGTGTGTATGTATATGTGTATATATATACACACGCACACACCTGTCTGCCTGTCTGCCTTCCTGCCTGTCTGCCTGTCTGTCTGTCTGCTTGTCTCTGTCGGTGCGTCGGTTGGTATGCATGTATGTATGCAGGTAGGTAGGTATGTATGTATGCGCATGTAGGCATGTATTATGTGTATGTATGTGAACACGCCCACAGTCAATAATTTTATCTGGCAAAGGCAGGTATACACCAGGTGTGTGCACATGTGTAGTATGTGTTTATGTCCTCCCTGTGTGACATATGCTGGCCGACGACCAGCCACCAGCCTCTCCATCTGCAAACCGTCGAATGGCGCGACGAGTTCCTGCGAAGTGCGCTGAGCCGCGGCTCACCGGCAATGGGGTATCTCCAGAACTGGCCAACACAAGAGCGGCATTCCTGTCTTGATGTTTGTCTGCCAGAGCTCATTGAAATTGATCTCATAGGCAAAGTAGTCGCTGTGGATCTGGCACGAAGAGACCCTCTCAAGAGAATCGTCCTCTTACATGCAAATCCACACTCGGGCAGCAACCACCCGCACTCCCAGCTTCAGGTCAGGATGGTCACCTAGGAAGTAACGGACATGGCCGCCGCTGCTGCACAGAGTGCATTAAAGTCCCTTGAAACTCGCACAGGTAGCAGCTGTTGGCACATGGACTTTGAACCCCTTCTGCTTCCCAGCGTGGATTTGTTTCCCGTTCCCTCTTCTACTTCTCGGTGCCTGCATCTCACGCTGCCATAATGGCGTGTTCAATCGTGACATATTTCGACATGCCACGCACCGATGAGCAACAGTTTGCATGGCCACTGCATGTTGCCCCTAGCAGCAGGAACCCCTAATCCATGAAATTCCCACACTGCTTCCAGACATTCCGCGTTAGCTCATCTCGCCAGCTTATTTTTGCCGAGGCACAGAACTGACGCCAGTACTTCTCCAGCCTCTCGGCGGCTGCGTCATCGTAGTCGTACCAGCCGACCTCCTTACAGCCCAGGCTCAGTTGCACCCCGCGGCCGATTTCTGAATTTATCTATCTATCTGTGTATATATATATATATATATATACATATATATACATATATATATATATACATATATATATATATATACATACATATACATATACAAATACATACATATATATATATAATATATATATATATATATCAACGCACGACTACAGGCACGGCTGTCGATTTTGTGCAACTCGGACGGCTTGCTTTGCCAAGGCCCTGCCTTGCCGTCAATGGCGTTGTGCATGTAGAACTGCCACCTACAAGGCAGTTTGGCTCGTGATCGACTCTCTGCTACTTCCGTATTCACACCTGCCCTTGGCATGGCCGCTGCCGCTTGGTTCCAGGCTCACCAGCCTGAGCGTTTCCGCGACATGGGGTACCCTAGCAAAGAGGTGCACTGACTCAAGCAAGTGGCAAGGCAACAGTGCCGCCGTGAAAAGATGGACATGCACGAGCTTGCCAGTAGCAAGGACAAAAAAGCGCGGCGGAAACATTGCTGCCCGCCTGTACTTGCCGGGCATCTCTTCAAAGGTCATGCCAAGTTGACCCCACACGTTGCCTCGTGTTGGGCTAACGGAGTTGAAGGAGCTGCGGGGAGCGGCGAGCTTCAGATGGGTGTCTGCATGGCTATCAGCCCATCAGCATAACGGAGATGTGCCAAGCTGCCTGTCTTCTGACGGTACTTCCTGCATCCGTTACGACGCATTAGGCGTGGGTAGGCAGGGGCTAGGAGTGCGACGCCGGTCCAAGCCTTCGAAAGACTGCCTTGGCAGCGTGGAGCTCCTTGAAAGGACCATCCACGTGCACACGGCCTCCACGCCATCTGAGCTGCCACGCGCCCACCAGCAGGTGACTTGCCGGTGACTCTGAGCTCCACACCATCTAGGCCTGTCCATCCCCAATGCTGCACCGCCCAGAATTCCGAGCCATCAGTGCTCGCCAGGAGCTGCCTCAGAGATATCTCGGCCCTCAAGCGAAGACCGGCCAGTCCAGCAGAGTGAGCACAGCACATGTTGTAGTACTTGTCTGTCCCCTTAGCGCCACAGCCGGATCAAGTCTCAGAAGCAATACCGGTTTACCCATCAAATTTGCTGAAGCAGCCTTGGCCGGATCGTTTAACACCAGCTCCTCCATGTCATGAAGTAAGGGCTGATCGCTCAGCAGGGACATGCAAAAGGCTGAGCTTAAAGCCACATCCCACGTCAGAGTGCCCTTCATCATCAAACCTTTCCTCATCGACAGCTGCGGCTCATTGACTCAAAACTGGCACCAGAAGATCAACGCGTTGCAGAGAAGCGTCTTCGCTTGCTCTTGCACGACAGCAGCTTTGCCTGGCATCGCTGGTTCACGGATCATGTAGGCCTGCGCTTTCACCGCAGCCTCCCAGGCCACTTTTTGCGATCACTGGGGCCTCCTTGGATCCCGAGCTGTCCTCTTAGAACCTACAACCGATCTCCGCCGCAGTCTCTAGGCTGCATGGTGAAAGCAGCAAGAGAAGCACCAGGACTAAAGCTGCTAGACAACTGGTGAGCTTGCAGCCAAGGTACCGTCGTGGCGTATGCCACGGATGTGGAAGAAGCAGTTGCGGAGGAACCCGGCTCGGCCTCGTCCTGGCCGAGACCCCCCCACGCCTGGAAAACCCGAGAAACCAAACTGTGCCCTCCCGGCCTTCGCTACCCTGGCCTTCTTGGCCGGGCTTGCGGAGGCCTTTGCCTGCTTTGTACGAGTGCTGGCGAGCATTGCTTCCGGAGAGCAGGGAACATCCGTCGTCGCAAGTCTCTTGCCCACCTCCCTCTTTTTCGCGGGATCGGATGCCTTTCGTTTTGTCAACGCAAGAACCGATGATAAAGATGGCGCTTCACGACACATCCGCCTTGATGAGGAAGGTGCAATGATCGAGCAGCGACTTCGCTGCTATGCAACAGCCCAGGAAACCTGACAGCCATACCAGCATAACCCAGCGGAGTTAATGCCAGTTGTGCTCAAACGTGCTGGTGCCGCGACACAACACGGTCAGACTGCGCACGGCCTTCTTGTACGATTGGTGTTCCTCGCCCCTTGGCCAAAGCCACTTTGTGCGAATTGGCCTGCTCTCGGAAGGCACAGTCGTGGGCAAGACTGACCCTGACATGACATGCGCCTTCACGTCTTCCTCCGTAGAGACGAGGAACTGCACAGAAGTCGTGACGGTGGAGGAAACCTGGGACCAAGTTCTGGTGTCTTGTCAAAAGTACCACATGCGCTGACCTCTCCGCCATGACGACGAATCAACTCCTCATATGCCTGTGGGGCCAGACATGCCCACAACAGGTTGCATGGAGATCGGAACAACTATGCGACGTCATGCAGGCAGACCTTCTGTGTCTGCGCCAGCTTGCCTCCAATGCAGATTTGAAGGACGCACGCGGGCACAAAGACTCTGATGCAACCTCCGGGCCTGACAATGCGAAGGTGATGCCTTTGAAGAACCTGGCGGCTCCCCGGTCAGCACTTACACGTGAGGACACTGGATAATACCGTCCAACACCGAACAAGCATAAACTTTACTGCGATCGCCAAACCGAGTCCAAGGTACTTTTTGGGGGGCATAGCCGGGGCATGAACCGTGGATAAAAAATTCTACAAATAGCACTCAGTCAGGCTCCTGCTGGTGGTTTGGGCGTGCTGGGCTAGGTGGGGAGGATCTGTTTGTAACGCTGACATGACTGCCCAGGCAGTTGGAGTTGTGCTGATGGTAATTGTCGTGACCGTTCGGACTTATCTTGCTTGAATTCTTGCTTTTATATCAGCTTGTAGCAGTGGCTGCAGCGATAGCATGATTCACCATTCAAGGCTTGAGCCTTGGCGCAGGCAACCGACATGTTAGCCGCTGCGCTGCGTCTCTCCGCTCAGGCGGCAGCCAACCGTATCCGTCATATCCATCGGACCTGAAGTCTGAACTCTCAAACCACGGCTCTCACTCGCGACAGAAACCAGAAAGTGGGCACTGCTCGGAGACCGGAGACCTTGGGGCAGTGACCAACTCCAGCGAGCCCAAGCCTGCAGACACGCACAGAAGTTCACGGCTTCTCTACGCAGTCTAGCCATGGCCACACCACTATATGGCCAGCTTCGTAACGTCGCAAGAGTTGAGGAAGGGCTAGGAATAAATTTCTGAAGCTATTTGGCGCTGCCTGTCCCCTGCTCTAGGCTGAGACTTAGCTGTGAAGCATGGCAGGAGTCTCCAGCTGACAGGGCCTGGCCATCTGTGCCCATGGAAGGTGGAGCCACACGGCGTCAGAAATTTAAAGTGGGTTCTTGTGGCTGCGCTGTATTTTCTGACCGGTCCAGTAGAGGGCGAATTGTGCTCTTTATTCTATGACTCGATGATAATTACATGTTGAGGTCAATGCAGTGTTTGAGCTGGCCAGCAAAGCTTGCGGAGCAACACTTCGACAAACGTACTGTAATCAGAAGCCGCCGTCAACCAACCCGCGGCATGCCGTGCTTTGACCACTGGGCAGGAAAAGAAGCCGGCCGCGAGTTTCCGCGGCCTATCGCTGCTCCGTGCTGCCACAGACTCCGACGGAACTATCAGCTAGCAGAGTGAGACGCCACCAGCACACGCGTAGGATGGAGTTGGCAAGAATGGTAGCACCCTCCAACCGAGAACGTCTCCACTGTCTGCCACGTCCAGGCATTCTGCCGTAGCTACGGCTCCGTGCCCATTGTGACCACCGAAGACATAAATGCTCAGTGTGTTCGCCACCGGTCTGTTGTGGCAAAGGCTGACGCAGCCAAGTCGCGGCGTCGGCATGTCAGCAATAATTTCCCAGACGAAAGCAGCAATGTCCAGGCGCTCGACAGTGGCTAGTGCCCTGCCTCTGCCTGCGTGGCCACCGAAAACAAAGACTGACTTGCCAAAAGCCGCTGCTGAGCAACCCAGGCGCGGCGTTGGCATTGGCGGAAGCGGAGACCAGCGGTTCGATTGCACATGCAACATGTCGGCAGTAGAAAGGAAATCGCGCCACCTGCCACCTACTACGAAAAGCCGATTAGCCACTGAAGCTGCTGCGCAGGCGTCACGCCTGCATGGCATGTCCTCCAAGCCCTCCCACCAAAGGCTAGTGGAGACGTTTAAGCGCTCTGTAACCGACAAGGCCTCCTCGTGCTGACAACCACCAAACACATACAAACAAGAGCCACACGAGGCAACCCCACAGGCTTCCCTGGGCGTTGGCATGTCTGGTACCGGCTCCCACAAGCCCATCTCAACATCGTATCGCTCGACAGTCCCCAGCACATGACCTTCTTGCTGCCCACCGATCACGTAGATCTTTCCCATGCATTGCGCACCACTGCACCAGCGCCTCTCTGTGGGCATAGGCGGTCGGATGTCCCATGCATTCTGCCATGGGTCGTAATGCTGCAAGCATGAGAGCTCAGCCCCTGCCAAACACCCGCCCACGACGAAGAATTGAGGACGCACCTTCTCAAGAGTTGACACGAACTTCGGATGTGCAGAACCAGTCTTGCTATGCAAATCTGGCATGTCCACATCTAGCGCATTGCTGGGGTTACGACTATTGCTCCGAAGCTATCTGCGACGCTAGTACATGTCTTAAGTTGAACACAACAGGTACCAAGTACAATTCGAGGCCAACAACCGAAAGGGCGTGGCCGAGCCTCTTCACAAAGTCTGGGAAGCATTTGCCGCATGCCTGGTGGCACAAGTATTTGCAATGAAAACTGTTCGGAGCCTGACATGTTAGGCTGGCAGCAAAGGCTGAATAGGAGTCCTACGAGATAATACTACGACGTATATAGAAGCAGTCCGTGAACAACGAACAAAACGAACTTCCGTGCCGCGAAATCCGAGCGCTCCACTGGCCCCGTGGCTTCGGCCGGCGCTGGCGAAGCGCTGGGCCGCTCGGAGCCCGGCAGCGAGGCCCAGGGCGCGAGCGAGCTCGGGGAGTTCCAGCAGCTCCTGCTTTTACGAGTAGAATCTTTAGAACCTAGGAGCGTCTGTGGTCTGTGGTGGGTGATGGTGTCATGACCTGTTCGACTTGCACCATGAGGATTCTTGCAAGAGAAGGGTAGGCTCATGCTTGCGAATGCGAGGACCGCAGCCGAAGCTGGACCACCTGCGCACCTTGCCGGCATCCTCATTCTCGCTTGCTCGCTTGCTCGCTTGCTCGCTCGCGCTTGCTCTTCGCTCATGCTCTCTCTCTCGCTCTCTCTTTGGCAGGGCCAAGGGCGAGCCCCCATGTGGAGACACGCCCTTGGTTGGCTGTTTGCACGGCTTCGGACGGGTTCACAAGTTTTCTGTGCGCTCTCGGGCTGTCTGAAAGATCGGCAAGACTGCAAGTCTAGAGGTCCGTAACGCCTGGTAGGTAGCCACTCGTCCGCCAGCTAACACTGTACTCGTTACCTTTTTACCTAAACCCTAAACCCTAAACCGTCGCTCTCCCGCTCTCTCTGTCCCTCTCGCTCTGCTGCTCCGCCCTCTTCGGCCGCCCGCGGTGAGCACCCATTGCAAGCGATCTCCTCACGAGCAAAGCTAAGGCCCCCGCCAGCAGCAAAGCTGCCTGCGCACAAGATTTAAGACCGCAGCTCCTACCGGCACAAGTGCAAGAATAATACCAATAGGGTCGCCCAAGGCGAGGACAATGTCACTGCAGCGTCTATGCGCTTGCTAAACACGGAAACAAGCCCGTGCCAGCAACTGCGCCGAAACAGCAACTACACAGCTTACAAGGCTCATCCCAACAACTGCACACCACTGTTACATTACAATAACTAGTAGCTAGTCACAGGAGGATGGCATCCTCGTCGCCATCCTGGTGGTGACGGTGGTGATTGTGGAGGTGGTGGTGGTGGTGGCAGCAGCAGCAGCAGCATCAGCAGCAGCAGCAGCAGTAGGAGGAAAGGCCATGATTGCAACTCGCTGGTGGGACCGAATACAACCAAGAAATCTGCACAGGTCCACTACGATCAACACGAGGATGAAACACGACAAGGGACCGAGGCTTCCACAACAAGGAGCATACTTGTAGTTTCGTTAAAATGATGGAATTTTCGAGCGGTTGGCGCGCAAAGGCCTGCGTGTACGCCTAAGCATGTATGCCGAAGTGCGACATCACGAGAACCAACCCATGCACATAGCAGAAGAAAGAACATCAGATCCTAGGACCCAAGGACAAACCATTGAGTTTGCAAACGCTTCCGTAAAGATAGGCGTTTCAATTGGTGCCTGCAGCCGCGCTCGCCTGGCGGCCTGCTGCGTCAGGCTCTTGGCCAGGTCAATCTGCTCCAATTTACGGAGCCTCGGTGAAGGGGACTCCGGGAGCTTTGAGCACAACTACAGAGGGAGCAACTTCTGAGCAACCAGGAGAATCAGTCCGTCAGGCAAGATTGCATGTAGTAAACTTCGATTGCACTTTTCTGTCGACTGCACCCACCTACTCGTACCCATTTGGCCCCAGGATCCTTTTCCATATAAGTACATATCTTGGTACGAAATTTGGAACATCTTTTTCCTGGCAGACTCGAGCAAGGCAGGCACGGATCCGCAGGTCTCCACGATTGCCACCAGCACAACAAGTACCACGAGGCACACAACAGTAGTAAGTAGAAGGGGGAGGTACAAGGGAAGTATCAAAAACTGGCTGCCAAGATACGCGCAGAGCCAACCGAATGGCACATGTGAACAGAAATAACTCCAAAAACAGCTCCTATGCAAGGCCAGATGTCTCTAGATCGGGCAGCCTGTCGAGGGATCAACCCGGCCTGGTTTGACCGTGCTATTTTCGTTGAAGCGTGAAGGTAGCATGGCGGCCACTAGCCCTGGTTCCTTTTCGGGACACATCGAGGCACACTGGGTGCAGCCATGAGGGCTTGGGGTGTTGGCCAATCAAGGGGAACTAAGGAGAACACCGCAACGACTCCACGGCACTCAGCGCGGCCGAAATGCAACTCATCCTGTGCGGCGGTAACCGCCAGCGGCGCTGCTCCCAGCGTGGCACAGCCCGGGAGAGGTGCTGCCGGCAAGGGCTCAAGGCCAGCACCCATCCGCTCAAGACATCCATGATGCAATGTGGGAGTCTAGACAACTGTCAGGGTGTAACCTGTTGCTTCGGACTGTGGTTGACTTCTGCGAATCACTTTCAATCCCGATATGGTGATTTTGCTGTTTCAGGGTACATAGCTGATAGCTCTCACCCGAGATGGCAACGGCTGGAGCCGTGCAGGGAATCTTGGGTTGTGGTTCAAACATGCTGCAACAAAGGAGCTGACGTCGTTGATTACAGAGTCAAGCATAAGGCTCCTCCATCTGGCCCTTAAATGGGCTCTGGAAGGTGGTGCACTCCGAATTAGCTGCCAGGGGGCAGATTAATTTGCCTGCGGCATCCACGCCGTCCGTGCCAGTTGCCAACACTAACTATTGGCTAAGCATTGCATTGCTGTACCGTGCTCGGCAGCAGCGGCCCTAGGAATGCACGACAGCTGATGCAACTTGGCAGAAACATCGCTCGGCCTTCCCTGGCCATCTCGGGCTCAATGACCCAATCCGGCAGAACAAAACCGAAACGAGCAAGGCGAGTTAGCACGCCAATAAAAGGAACAGATGTAAAACTTAGCTGACTTAGCTGTCCAGCTGGTCAATGTATCAGCACCGGGGAGTCTGCCTGAAGAGCATGGGGAAGGCTTCATATCTACGCGACCCCAACTGCCACTTCGACATCGCCTGCAGCCATGTGAACTCAGCCAAGGCAGCATTGCAACGACGCCGCAATATTTCCACGATTCGCATGGGGTGGCCTCTGCTGCCTGGCAAGGACATTGGATCCTATGCCACGGGGCTGAAGCACAATCCTGCTTCCATGCCTAGATCACTCAAGCAGGTGCTGAAGAACTCCTGAACAAGCGAGCAAAGCCGCAAAGGGCGCAAAGGCGTGTGTTCGCCATTTTTGCGTCGGTCCTCTAGCATCTTGCGAAGGAGGGCAGCATGAACGAGAGCAGCCAGTCGCAGCAAACGAGCCTGAACAATTATGTGGGTTGGCCGCGAGGCCGCTCTATGCCGCTCTTCGCAGAAAGTTTCGGGGCCTCTATGGATGGAGGAGATGCAACGCAGCGAAAAGCAGCAGCGGCGAAGGTTACGGAGAACACGGCCTGGTCCCAGAACCCAAGGCTGAGACGGAATCTCGGGAGTTGGCAGTTGGCAGTATGTCGGATTCCCCTCCTCTAGCGGCTCCATGCCCTCATCCACCTCCACCTCGCCGAGACGGCCCTGAAGCCTTTCGAGCACCTGCACACATTTCTGCACTGCACACTCGTTTCAAGGAAAAGGGACGGCGGCGCGGAGATGGGCCTCCGAGGCCAGGCAGAACAAGGCCTCCTTCTCCCAGACGGAAACCTCAGCAACAAGGGCAGTATGCCGCAGTGCTCTGCGGAGAGAGCGTTTCAAGGGCCAAGGGACCGGGTCCAGGAGGTGGGGACGGCACAGCACTGCTTCTCGGAGCTCCTTCTGCCACTGCAGCATCTCCTCAGAAAAGAGCAGAAGCGGATGGCTCGGAGTCACGCGTGGCACCCTCCCCTTTCTGGAGCGGAGTCGCCAGGTTCGAGGAGAAGATTTCGCCGGCCATGCGATGGAGCCGAAGGCGCTTCTCTGCCTCCGTGTTGCCCTCCGGCTCTGGTTTCTCCTTGCCCATTTGCTCAATCTCTTTGCCGCAAAGCTGCGCACCGGCTACGCCTGCCTCCCTGCGCTTGCGCTCTGGCATCTCGTCACCTTGAAAAACGTGCTTGCTGCGTTAGGGTGCCCTCCACCCCAAGGTGAGGGACGAGGCCGAGGTGCCCATTTTTGCTCTGACATTCAGCGCTTGCTGCAGGGATGCAGCAAGACGCTGCGCGGCCTCGGTGGGCTGAAGCTCCAGCTTGCAAACGAGAACTTCTAACAGTCACCGTCCCAAGCTTGCACAACTGCACTGCACAACCCACCGTCCCGGGATTCCGGCCTCGAAGCCGTCGCTGAGCACCATGACCGCGGCAGCGCAGTGCAGCGCGGCCTGGCTGGCCATCTCCATGACCTCCCAGACGATGCTGCGTCCCCGACATGACAGGGAACATTTGTGTGAGGGCGACCATGCGGCGATCAGACGCACAAACCACAAAATTCTACATTTCCATGCTGGCTTTTGGAACCCACTCTCTCGAGATTTCCTTGGCGGAAGTGCATGCGTTCGACTGCTTCTTGCTTGCCCATTAGGACCATGAGGCAGTGCCTAAAATACGGAGTTCCGATGGCCGTGACAGGGGAGACGCTCTCCGAGTCTCTCCACGAAAGCCCAGGAGTTGCATGAACAGCCCGTTACCGATACGACACGACAAATGTCCACAGTCACAACAGGCTGCTGGCGCCTCGTCGCCCAAGGTCTTGCCGGACTCCCCCTGAGGCTCCCAGAAGGCCTCGCTGTCCTTTGAGGGGAGGGCCGCTCAAACTCTTGTGCCAAGGATAGCATAATATAATATAACAGAATCTTACACTGTTTATAGTACACTCTACTACATTCATTAGATTGTGTAATCATATGTAATTATGGTACGAGTGTTACAAGTACCTCGCCCTTAGTTCCGTAGGGCAAACGCGGCCAGAGCTCCGAATACTCCATGGCTTGGTTGCTCGCCTTCCAGCCAATATCGCAAGCTTCGGTTCCCAGAGTCAGAGCCGACTTCATCCTGTCGAAGTGCTGCGACCCCGACACACATCTAGTTGGTACTGATCAGCAGAATCCTCTCGGGCTCTAAGGACCGCAGTTTCATGTTATGCAGCTAAATCTCTTGGTTCAACTTAGGGACCTTATGGGCGACGCAACCTTTAAGGGATCCCAAGCCGTGCCCCAACTTAGAGAAGCACCCGGCCCGTCCTAAACCCCAAGCCTGGCAAAGGCTATGAACACATGCTGCTCTTGTCTGGCGAGGTGCTGGGACAGACACTTCTTCGTGTCCCTCGTCACGTTACCAAAGAGCTCCTCCGGCATAGATGCACTTACGTCCAGCACTGCCAGCAGCAAAGGCAAGACCTGCGGCAAGTCGAACAACCGACAGCGCAAGCGGCCGGTGCTCAAATCTTGAGACCACTTGCCACGTCTTCCGTCCCGGCCTGCGCTTGCGTTGCGGACGCGCTCATACCCAAGCGTGCAGCTTGCTCCCCGGTGGTGTTGACAGCGCCTTCCACTGCTAAAGCATTTGTGTCCTCCTTGCATTGGAACTTACCTGCCTGAAGCGTGAAGCACCAGCCGACTGCGCCCGACGCGACTGCTGGCACGCCACACGGCTCCGCCAGGCTTCTCTGGCTGGCCCGGGTTTCCTGTGTGTGCACAAGGCAAAACAGTCTCCACAATTCTTTCGATGCGGTACTCCGCCGGCCTGACACGGCTGCTTCATTTTCTTCTTCAGGAACTGTTTCTAAGGTCCTGCTCACAGGGTAAGGTTCGGTGACTGTTCTATCCAGCAGATTCCGAACAATCTCTGCAACTCCTTCGGCCAGGCACGGTCTGGGCCCGGGGGGCAGCACGCGAGGGTGGCTTCCGCATCAAGAGCTGCATATCTGCCAAGGCCTCTGAGCTTTCAGTCTCACGAAATGCGCAGACACAGCAGCAGGCTCAGCTGGCCTGGGCCGACCGCAGGACCAGATCCGCCTGCAGAGCCATCTCATCCGCGCCGGAGTGCTTCGGCAGCCTCGGCGACTCGAGGTTCCACGCGCTCAAGAGCACCTACCTAAACCCTATTTTTTGAACCCAGTCTAAATCCTAAACCCTAAACCCTATATACCCTAAACCCGAAACCCTTGTAATGCACCTACTAGAGCCGAGTCGCTTGAATTCCACGCCCCGGACCACAGTCTCACCAGGGCCAATCTGCGGCACCACGTCCACTTGAGAGGCCCGCGCGATACCGTCCTTTTTTGGATGGTGCCATGTTCAGATGTGGCTCCACATGTAAATCAGTGTAAAACCGCAAAATCTTCAAGTTGTCCATGTTTTGCGTGAAAGTTGGGCTTGGCCTCAGCGAACCTCCACCGCCCGCAAATCTACACCATGCAAAGGCACGAAAAGCCACGAGGGAAGCTTTGCAAGGAGCCATAAGTCACCAAAACCAAAAACCTAGCAGAAAAGTCTGGCCTTCAGAAAGCCAAGCATCTTTGTGCGACTGAAGCAGCTCGTAGGCTCCTCTGAGCGCTTGAAATGCTCCTGTGGATGTCTCGCCCTGCCTGCAACAAGTTGAGTCGAGTTGTGCTGACAAGGAGTTGAAGATATCGCAGGAGATGCCGCCTTTGCTGCACATGCCTGCGCTACAGCATTTGCAGGTGCAGGAGGCTCGTTGGCCTGTCTTGGCCCCACCTCTGTGTGAGATGCCAGATACCAACAACCAGGCATCAAAGCCGGTGCTTGATCTCTGCTCCCTGGCCTATACATGGGCAGAACTTCTAATTTCCAGAAGTGGTATCGTGCAATGCCGCCGTGCCGATCTGTACAAGCACATTAAACGAGACAGCCACAGCTGTCCTCACCGAACTTTGCAAGGTAAGAGAGCATCTGCGATTCAAGTGCGGCCAAGTGTTAAGATAAGCTGTGCATGTACCCCTAGAGGGGTTGTAACCGTTTCCAGAGACATAATATCTACCTACATCTCCAGGAAGTGGACAGCGAGACAGCTTTGATCCACTCAAAAGATGTCCCGGCCGTGGACGGCAGCTCAACGATCACTGCGCAAATAACAAGTCATCCCTGGTGTGCAGTGTGGAATCAGTCTTCGGTCGGCGGTGTTGTCTTTCTGATGCCTGCTGGACATCATGTTCCTCCTCTGACCGGGGCTGAACCTCCACAAATGTGTGCCTCACGACAACTTTATGCTGAGATGACCTTCGCTGGGCCAGCTCAATTCGTCTGTTCAAGGCTTCACAACTCGAGCGAGGAATAAACCTTGGTTTCGAGTTGTCGTGGATATTGGGTGCCGTTGTTCCACCATTGGCATGGCGGTATGCTGTCTTCTGCAAGGAGAAGGCTTGCAAA